ATAAATATGAAGCAGAGCAAAAAAAAAAAAAAAAAAAAAAAATCTTTGCTGCCTTCCACTGGCACAAGAAAAACAAGATTTTTTTTTAACCAAAATTTATAACATGTGCTAGGAAAGATTAAACAATTTAAAAAAAAAAAAAAAAAAATACTTTAGTCTTCCTTTTTAATAAACATTTTGAAGAAACTATCAAGTCTGGGACCCTTTTCAGCAAAAGGTCTGTATTAAAAATAACCAATAAATGAAAGGTAATTTTGTGAAAATATCTCAACTAAATTCCTCACTCACAGAAATTTCTTGCCAACTTTCTAACATCCATAAAATATACATTTATCCCAGAAATATCATATTTTAATGCTATTTTCTGCTACCAGGTATAAGATGTTCAAGAGATTCATTGTAGCCCTAAAATGTTATGGAAGGCCAAATTTTCTTGCTCGGATTCAGTGCAAAAAAATAAATAAAGAAAGAAAGTCTCTTTATAGATGAACTTATGCACTGAAAATAAAATACAAAAATAAATATAGCTGGCTCAGCAGGAACCAGAACCCAATACTTAAATTTACCATATCACCCAAAACAATAGGCACTTGAAGATGGCCAGAGGGTACTTGATTGGTTGAAAAATATCCATAATGACATCTATATGTTAATAGTTTGGAATAATTCAGGCATAAAAGCACAAAACAAATTCTTGCTACTTTTTCAGCCAATCATTGTTTTTTTTCTTTATTACTTCAAGTATTTTTACAATTTGTTATCCTTTGGAAAGGCACTTTTTATTTATTTTATTTTGAATGTTTTTCTTGCTAATTACTCAGCTATTTATATTAAAAAGAAAATTGACTGTTAAGGAGCAAGGGTCATAAGGAAAAAGCTCTCAATAAGAAGCTAATTTCAGATCTGTTCTTTTCACTGTTAAGTCAATAATAAACGAATAAACTTTACTAGTAAGAGATTAATGGCGACAAGTCATTTAAGAAATTTAGACAAGACAATTATCAAAGCAAATTCTCTTTCAATGTTGCAAATGAGAAAAGATGTGTGGCCATTGGATATCCAGGTCCTGAAAACCATAGCAAGAGGAAAATTGATATTGAATTAAAAAAAAAAAAAAAAAAATTATTCATTTACCCACAAATAATTTTTATTTTATAAATGAAGATAAACCAATATTTTAACAAACCATAGTTAAAACTTAAAAAATTTATAAGTAATCTTAGAAAGTTTTCTTTAAAATGATTTTTCCCATACAATAATTGATTTGGGGTGGGGGGGTTTGGTCTAGAGCAGCACCAAGTTAAGCGGTGATTTTTCTGCTCATTCAAAAATTATAGAAATTCAGAAATTATACCTTGACATCAATAATAATTACATTTTTTTTTAAAATCTATTTCTGGTTATGGCCCTACCACATTTAAACATCAGCTCTCTTTCAATCACTGAAGTTAAGCAATGTTGAGCCTGATCAGTATTCAGAGAAATACCAGTCGTAATTTTGGTAATCTTTGACTAATAAATTGTGACAAAAATTGAATTAAGATCCATTATATTTAGAAAGTAGATATCAAATAGGTTTATTATTCAATTTCTTTAAAATCATATTTTTACATCTCATATACCTTTGACGGGTATGTGGCCGAGGTGTTAAGACAGTGTTTTCATCAGGAAATGTGGGTTCAAATCTCACCATAGTTAATTTGTCAAAGTGATTTTATAATATTGGCCTAGGTGCTGTCTAGTGTGCAGCACCATTGGAAAATATACCACAGGTTGACCCAAGGCTTGTATGTGAAATTGGATACATATAACTGTTGGCAAAAGTGTTATGATTTTGTGCTAGCACAACCCATCAAGTCATTGTGGCAGAGTTCAAGTCTACTGGACTTGTTAAGTTAATGTGTGCATATGTGTGTGTGTCCCTAAAACTGTAACTAAAGGTCATCCAATCTAGTGGCTGTATTAAACCACACGTTGGTTCTGTAGGAAATGAAATAAATGTGCCTGAGCAGGTATCTGCTCAAGGGATTAATTAGAGGAACACTAGAAAAATATAAATGCAACCAGCCATTGTATAACATAACAGCTTGATGTATATCTAATGATTGATATCAATGTTAAGGAGATAAGAACTTTGGTAATAACTGCTAATAAAATTGAGCAAAAATGCTGACAAAAAAGAAAAAAAAAAGAAACGAAAACTGGTGATACAGTATCAGAAAAAGTGTACGTCAAATGTACGTAAATATTTGAAACTCATGTTCAAGTTATACAAAACAATTTCAGCTAAAGAAATAAGCACATTTAAAGTATGAAATTTTAGAAAATTGAATTTAGAAGGAATGCATTTCTACTTTAAAGAATAAACAAGGATTAAATTATTAATATTGCCAATAAATTAACAAACTTATCTAAAGTTTAACCAATGTGCTTTTGTTTACCTGTTGTACTGTGAATGAGGAATTTCTGTCATCGCAATTCTATGGATAAACTATGAGGGAAAATCCAACACCAATTAATATTATGAACTAAAGCAATAAGACCCCACTTCCCAGCACCATTGATTCCAAGGAGCAGAATCTTTGAGAATCTGATTTTTTTTCTTCTTCCCTCCCCGCCAATCTAAGCCAGAAAATTTATGAGTTCAATTCAAGAACTATCACTAAAAGCAGTACAGATATATGCCAGATAAGAAAAATGCATTTTGCTAAAATTATGGTCATTTAAAAATAAAATGAAGGCTAAAATTGCATGCCAGCAAAACAAATTACAAAAGGTACAAATTAGATTTGAAGAGGATCAATTAATATTTATTCTTATTTCTGCTTTTTATTGCTCTTTTCAGAGCCTTATTCTACAGTAAAGACATTAAAAAAGTGTCCTTACTGTAGAATAAGGCTCTGAAAAGAGCAATAAAAAGCAGAAATAAATGTAAGTATTAGGGGGAAAACAAGGGCTAAGCTTTGATTTTTGATCTGTGCTGATCAAAGGACTGCATAATGATAGAATTGCAATAAAAAAAATTAAAAAACAAAATGCAATGAAAGACTAAATATTAATTAAAAATTGACAATGCTTCAAATATTACTTAACTGTTTTCATAAAATTTGTTATTGTGTAATTCTTTCAGAGTAGCAGAATATCTGTTTTTACTGATATGCTGTATTTTTTTGTATATGTCACAACAGGGGTCTTACTTGAAAATTGTATACAATTGACAGGAATAGCACAGAGTATAATAAACTGTATCAATGTAAGTGAAAATGATGCTAGTTAGTCATAAAAGCTAAAACCTCAAGTGTCCTATCTTATAAGTTAATCTTTAAAATTAAAATAATCATCTAGTACTATACAATAACCAAGTATTAAATGTATTCATAGTATACAGAGAAAAAAAAGTCCTTTTATAGGATAACAAAACATTTCAATCACCTACTGTTTATGACTGGCAAAGCCTGATGAGCAAGTAATAAAAATATTCATCTTCTAGTCTTGGAGTAAACAATTTATGCTGTAAAAAGACTTGAATAAGTAAAATTATCACTGAAGAATCTTATGGGACCCCTGCCCATAAAATTCTTGAGTGATAATTTTACTTATTCAAGGAGGATGAATTAAAAAATAAAAAAAAATTATTTACCAAAATGAACCTATTTTCAACAAAAACAACTTTCACATTGCTTGGTTTATGGTACTGGATATGAACATTTATTCATTCAGAGCAGAAAATTTAGTATTCCTAAAAAGCCACCCCACCATATTTAATTAAGAAAGATCTATAGGCCATTTTTTTTTTTTTTTTAAATCTCCAAAGTATAAAACCAAATGTTGCTCTTTGAGTCAGATTATTTCAGTCAATATTTTGATATTTCTAACAGCAAATGTACATTTTATATGGATACAACATAGACATTACCATGCTACTGCTGATAACTAAATACCATTCCTAAATGGTTTCCAAGCTGTGACAGGATGAAAAAAAAAGAAAAAAAAAAGAAAAAAAAAGAAAAAAAAAGAAAAAAAAATCTTACAAGCCCCTTTTTTCTTTTTTCTTTTTTTAAATTTTTTTTATTTCCATTTTCTTTTACTTCATTGTTTTTTTCCCACCCCCTTGGGCATCACAAAGTACACTATGTAATGTTAAAGGATTACTGCTGGCTTTCAACTCTTGTTAGGTCCTTACTTGTGAAGTAGTAGTCTTCAAGAGAGCAGGAAAATGTGGTAATCAGAAGAAAAAAAGTGGGGGGATATAAATTAGATTGGCTTGTCCTGCCCAGGAAGAGCTCCATCTGTACTTTGTGTTTCCAGAGGAGGAGGAGGAGGAGGAGGGTGGCATTTCCACAAATCTTTCAAACAAACATCTAACCTCAACAATAACAGGCACCCAGACACACAAAATTGGTAGTAGATTGTGCTTGGTTGAGGCAGGTTCACTATCAGTAGTATGTACAAAGTTGAGATGACAAGGTTTCTTGACAGACAAGAGAGCACAACAGGCTCAAATGTGATGATCCATTTGGTGGGTGTCTACACCTACCACTAATAGAAGCAGGTGTAGTAAGAATAGTTTTAGCTGCAGCAACAGCAACGGTCGCTTGTGTTAATAATATAAAAAGGTGTTACCATTGTAACATTAGGTGAATCCTGAAGCAAGCAGTGGCTAGATGTCCAGGAAAGAGAAGAGAACATTAGGACATAATACAACCATTTACTGCCATATGGAATTATAAATATTACAATGTAGATTTGCCTGTATTGCAAAACACAAGCAGATAGGTACATGGAGAGCTAAAATATTCAAGGTAATGGAATTCAAGATGAAAAAAAAATTATCAGTGTCCTCAGCAAACATTGGAGTGCTGCATTAAAAAGTTCCAAATGTTTCTTTTTCCTTTATAATTTTCAAATTTTAGACTTTTTCGTACATATCTACAGAATGTAATACTATCAACCTGTTTCCCCTCTTCATTATGTCAATCCTGCAAATCTGAGCAAAAGGCTCACATATCCATCAGTCTGAGCACAGTATTTTGAATTTGGAGTTCTGGAGAAAAAGAAAAAAATGAAAAACATTTAATATATTATGTTAGAAAAGTAAAACATTTACATTTTAGAAGCAATTAATATTTCAGGAAACAGTTTTTAAAATTTAAAAGAAATACTCATTACATTTCCAAGAAAATGGAAAAAAATTTAAATCCTCATCAAAACATACTTATTGGAGTATTGGATTTTGACTTGAAAGCTTTTTTTTTTTTTAACAGACAAAACATCACTTTTATTCAGAGAAAATAAAAAACTTACTGCATATTTCCAGGAAAGAAAGGCTGCTAACATTCATCCGCTTCTTCTTCACACTAATCAATAAAGCAGACAAGAGCAAAGAGAATTAGAAGTCAGTATTTGGTTAAATCAAATTTCAGATATTTAAATATAATAAATTAATACATTTATCTAATCCTTTGAAAGAATCTATTCCTCTTGACAAATCAATAATAGAATTAAAGAAAAACAAAAATTAACTACTTAATTTACAATTTTAAGACCTGTATGAAAAGAGCATAGTAAAGTTGTCAGACAAAAAACATCAAAATGTTTTTATTTATTTGTTTTAGCCTTTTTGATGGGCTGAAAAGTTCAGCCCTTTTTCAGAAATAATATCAAAGTAAAAATGAGTACTTACATATACAGAATTGTCCAGCAGTAAGCATCTTGTGTTAAGAGACCTTAATAAGAAGGCCAAAAGTCTTATATTATTGCTCATAAAAAGACAAGCACATATTAAAATTTTCCAGCAGATTAGGACAATACAAACTAATGCATGTAAATTTGCACAAAATATGCATCCTGTACAAAATAAAGCAGCACTGAAACACTTCATTCAAATAAAACTAACAGCATCAAGCACTCCATGTAACAAAGCCAGCTTAGATTTACTAAAAATTACAGAAAAAGGAAGCAGATATACTGAAAGCAACATAACTTTATGTAAGCAAAGAAATAAAGGTCACAATGACTACCACAAATATTTTTAAGGCTAATCTTTAAAACATTTAAAAGCAAAAGATAGAATGTAAGCACAATTCCACAAATGTAGATTTTCCTGAGAATTAACAATGTCATCTGATATAACATTTGTTCTTTAGCTTAAAAATTTCTCAAAAGATTACATTTTAATAGAAAATAGTAATAAAACTAAAACCACCCACTTAAGAATCGATTCTCAATGAATTTATCAATTTCATAAAATTAATCAGATTTTAAACAGGTTATTTCTGCTTAAAAGAAAGAAAACATTCACCATAGAATCATTTATTAAACAATGCCCATCCCAAGTCCCGAAAAAAAAAAAAAAAAAAAAAAAGGATTTTGAGGAGAAGCCCAAAATACAACACAAACAGGCTTGCACCACAAAGACAAGTTTTGGAAATTACAAAGCACTTCTATTGTTTCCCCAGGAAAAAAAAAATAAAATAAAAAAATATAAAAAAAAAAATAAAAATTGAACCTACAGAGATTTTAATATAAAAAAATTTAAAAAGCAGATTTGGAGAGAGAAAAAGAAAGCAGGTCAGGTTGACAAAGCTGGTTAACTGATAAGTACATTCTCCATGCAGATCTTGAAATTATGCTTAAGTGAATTGAAGTTTCAGTCATGCAACACTATTGAAAGCTGTTTATGGAGAAAAAAGTTAGGTCAAATAGACATCTAAAAAGTCAAACTTCATGCTGCTGTAATGCCTTTCAACCAGATTGAGAACAATACTGAAAGCAGAACTAACAGAAGTTTTATAATCTGCGATGAAAGTATGACACAAACCATTAGGTTCAGGGGCTTGTGGTGTCTCGGGCTTGCCGACGTGAGCACCGTGGACTAGAGCATAAGCAATTCGCTCCTACGGAGATAAAACAGGGCTTTTGTAAACATCATTTCACAGTTAAAACTTGGGAGAGTGGGAGAAAACCAAACCACAACTATAAATATACACATTAAATGAGAGAAAAAAAAAAAAAAAAAGAAAAAAAAAAAGAAAAAAGAAAAAAAGAAAAAGAAAAGAAAAAAGTGTGGTGTATCTATGTGTATACACGTGATTCCTCAAATTGTAAGTGAATTCCTCTTCTCTCAAAACCAAATTGTGCATTTTGTTTTGTTATACTACAGAGATAAATACCCATGTAAAGAAAGGGGAAAAAAATTAAGAAACCTGATGCTGACAAGGGAGGAGAGATTTCAAGAGAACTTTGTAAATAAATTTGAAGGACAAGCTTATCAAAAATAGTATATCAAACAGATCCAAGAGTTATGATTTCATACAAAGCGGTCTTCATTGGTTCAGTTCATCGCAAAATTTTACCCAACTCTGAAGGATCCTAAATGAAGAATCTTTCTATTAGAGCAAAAGAAAAAATTCTGTGCAAATGGCTATGAATTGCCAGCAGCAGTTGTGAAAGGTTTTAAACAAAGTTTCAAATATACTAATAACGTAACCAAATGGAAATAAGTGGAAGAAAGATGAGAAAAGTGAAAAGAAATCAATTTAAAAGTTAATGTGAAGAAAAGGGACTACAAAGAGAAGTGTATTTCCACATGACATGCATAGAATGGAAATTTCCACCATTCATCTTTGTCAGAAGCATTAGAAAATATTAGCAGTGTATGAAAGAAAAAGTTTACTTGATCATTGAATTCCATTTTCGAACAAATCAAAGTTTCTTTTAGAGAGTGATCCCCAATGAGAAAGCAAGAAAAGCAACAGCAAGCATTCAATGAAGTTAGTTCATTAAATACAAAAGAATTTTAAGAAACTTTATTTGCAAAAGAGAAAAAAAAAAAAAAAAAAAAGTTAAAGTTAAAGAATCTTTCTTCTTCCCCTTCTGTCAGACCAAAATACTAAATGCATTGAAAAAGAATTAAGCCTCAAAAATAGCAAGATAAGAAAAACTGAAAATTCCAACTGCAATGATATGCAAGTCCTTGCTGCATATGAAGCAGCAGGTTGAAAATTTTTCTAAACTAGATAATAGAGACTTACTAATTTTCTACAGAATGATTTGACTCAAAGCAATAAAAGAAAAATGTTGGCACGTCAATAGTTGTGTATATAAAAAGATTTAGGCAAAAAACAAAGCTCATTGATCACAAATTAGAAAAATCAAAGAAAACCAATAGTTGGAAAATGTTTTTAAAATTACCAACTTGGCAGGATTCTTAAACCATGATTAAATTTGAATTAGAAAATTCCACAATGGTGAAATATAAGTAAATAAGTTTACAGACAAATAAGTAAATTTCTAGTTAAAATACAAATATTTTCCTTAACAAAAAATCCCGAAGCAATTTTTTTAAAAAATATTCTCTAGAAAGCTGTAAGTAGTATATAGCTTCTAAACAGGATAAGACTAAAGTTACAATAGTTGTATAATTTTTGCAACCTGAAGAAGCATCACATGTGCAATAATCCTTATTGCTCTGAATAGAAATCTGTCTTTGTGAATTAAAGAACTCAATGATCAATATAAAAACAATATATAAATAAAGCAATCTTCAATCAGGTTTTTCATATTAGACAAAGTATATATCTTGTTAAGACATCAAAATTGGAATCAGGACAGTTAGGCAAGTCTAAAAGGAGATAAATACAGAATTAAGTGTTTGCACTGAAAATATTTTGTAACCCCGACATCCCAACTTCAATATTTCAGTCACAAATTCAAATAAGGAGAGGAGAAAAAAAAATGCAAAAATTGTAAACTGGACGTTGTTAGATTCTGTAATTTTATTTAAAATTTTAATTAAAGAGGACAGAATGAAATAATCACTAAAGTAATATTTGTCAATTCTATTGGAAATTTGTTTTTTTTTTTGTTTCTTTTAAATTTCCCAAGTTGATGCAACCGAGAAATTAAGCTATATTCTTTATTCAAGAATTGGGTAAGTCTGCAGACATTAGAAACTATAACATATATTAGCTTTAATACAGACACAAAAATAAGAATTAAAGGAAAGTCAATCTACTTAGCGGCAAGAACAAAACAGTCACTAAGAAAATTCTCATCTTCATAGAAAAAAAAAAAAAGAAAAAAAAAAAGAAAAAAGAAAAAAAGTTAATGTAACTGATACAATATTTAATATGACTGCAAGAATCTACTAATAAAGCTTTAAAATGAGAAGTTAAAAACAAAATCCAAAGAATTGTAAATAGACTGGTTAAATGGAAGAATAAAGTTCAATTAGGCCATAATATTGACATGACAAAAAATGTCAGAAGATTGTGATAGAGGTAGAAGAGGAATTTTCTCACTTATTCCCATGTGTTGTTGAAAAAGACAATTCCTATGGACAAAATGCATTAAAATACAAAAATGAAACAAGCAAGTTTGAAAAGCTAAAAACAAATCCATCATTAGGACTAACAAATCAGCAACTCATATTGTTGTAGATTTCTTAGTGATTACCATTTAATGTTTGTAAATGCTGAAAATTAGAACTATTACATGAACAGAATTCTACAAATAAAGATCTATAGGGAAAAATGAACTTTAATTTCATATGAGTTAAAGGTTTTTTTGGGGGGTGGTATTAAAATGAATCTGCATATTCAAAATTTTTCAAAGACATTAATATAAGAACACTCAAGATTCTTAACTTCCAAAATGCTTGCTGTTACTCCATAGACTCAATGTCAGTTTTCACATTAATGGGTAATAGGAGTCATCAGATAAGACAGAAAATATTTCAAGAAGCTTACATGCATCTAATGCAAGGATTAGTGGAGAGACATCAAGACTTGAAATATAAGTCTCATTAGTTTATAAACTTGGAATATAAATCACTATTAAAAATTTTAAAAATGGCAGAAGATTTAAACAATCAGATTTAATCTAGCAAAACTGAGTAAAAAAGGATATTTCAGGTTACCCCCCCCCACAAAAATTATAAAATCAGATTTGTCTAACATCAAATTGTTTATCTCTCAACTTTTATGAAGAGGAAAAAGAATCTACAGACTTAAGAGGCCATCAAAAGATTTTATTTTGTGAAAATTTATCTTTCATTTGAGATTTAAATACTATATGGAAAAAATAAAAACTCCAGATCCAAACTATGCACAGGTTAAACCTTTTATTAAAAAAAAAAAAAAAAAAAAAAAAAAAGATCAGGTTGCTAGCAAGATTTGACAGTTCATCTTCTGTCATAGGCGATTAATTGGCTAAATTTGATTTGGGTTATGACATGTATACAGCAAAGTTTTTCTCCAACTCAAAACCATAAATGAGAAAAACCAGAATTTGAATAATTCTCCATACTACACATTACCACACAAGAACCAATTCCTATAGGTTTTAGATAAACCTAAGAAAATACCAACTTCATGAAACCAATGTAAATATAAAATTTCTTGCTTTACAAAGTTTTAAAGTGAATTCAAGAGTCCATTGCATGACGAAAGGAAAAAAAAAAGTAAAAGAAAGTAGCGGTCAATGATAGTATGAATTGATAAGTATAGTTTTTTTTTTTTTTTTTTTTTACACATTCAATTATTACAATACAAAAAGGCTGTTGACAAAAACTTTATTGCCAATCATTTTTCATATAAAATGATCACCAAAAACAGTTTATAAATTCAGTAGCACAACTTACCCATCATCATAACTGCAAATGCCAATCCCCTGCATTAAATTCAGTTCATCTGCACATCTCGTTCTGAAATTGAGAAGTTTTCATGAATCCTTTTTAATATGAACTTAATAACACTTTGGTTTTAGTTTAAAAAAAAAAAAAAAAAAAAAAAGATGCATTTTACTAATTTACACAATTACCTAAGAGCTCAAATCTACAAGATTTCACAGACTTAATTTGAAGCATTAAATAAAAAAATTTGGTTAAGAAAAGGAAAAAAATTGGGTAATTTGTAGATTTACAAACATACATTTTATTCTTTATGAATAGAATTTGACTATCCACCAATTTTGTTAGAATTTCCTTCAAGAAATACTTATGTCCAGTTAAACAACTACTTATTTGCATGGAATATTACATCTTTATTAATAACCTGCTTTCAAATAAGAGGAGGAGAGGAAAGAAAAACATTCCATTTGCCAATTAAAAAGGTACCAAAAATTCAGCCACCCTACTTACTTTGCCTTTGCATGTGTTAGGATGTGAGATTTCAGATTTGTAGACTGAGCAAATTTCTTGTTGCAGCCATCAAAAGGGCAAACATATGGCCTATCTCCAGTATGTATCCGCACGTGTGTCCTCAAGTTGAAGTCCAAAGAGAACCGCTTACCACATCCTTCAAATGTGCACTGGGAGAAAGAAAGTAATTGAAGGTTAGAGAAGAAAAAATCCACAAACTATTTTAAAATTTAAAATTTGTTCCAGATCTGTTTTATGAAGCCTGTATTTGTGCATAATGTTGGAAAACAATATTAACAGAAGTTTATTCATTGTAAATTAAACCAAGCCTTGACTAAAATAATGCCAAAGTTATTTTAGAAATTTATTGAAAAGAAGTTTAAATCAAATATCTGAAATTTTGCACTAATTTCTTCAGTGGATTGTTAAATATGAATTTGTACTAATACAACAAAAAGATGTTGAACCAAATGATACCTATTGAGAGCAACAGCAAAATGCTACCTTTTACCCAGATTTGACCCTTAAGTACTTTGAACCTCACATTAATCAAAGTCACAGGCAAAAAAAAAAAAAAAAAAAAAAAAAAAATCATCAAGAAAGCATTAGTTTCAAATATATTTAGATTTTTTAAAAAAGTTTTCCCACTGTCCAATTTTTGAGAGAAATACATACACAGACTTACCTGGAATGGCTTTTCACCAGTATGAACTAACTGATGTCGCTTCAGTTTGGAGCTTTCAACAAATGCCTTACCACACTCTGCACATACATGTACACGTGGGCCATGAGTGTGAAGATGCTTTCTCATAGCGGAATTGTCTCTAAACATTTTATTACAACCCTTAAAAAGAAAAAAAAAAATTATAAAGGTTTCTCAAAAAAACTGAAAGTCAGCACAAAATCTAACCCATACATCAAAACAGCCCCACTTTGTACAGTCATTATAAACAAAATAGATTCAAAGGCTAATTAGATCAAAGCATGTTGTCATCCCCGAACACACACACGCAAAAAAAAAAAAATCTTTCAAGCAACACCATGTTTCCACATTGGCAGTGAACATTCAGCAAGCAATTAAACAAGATGTGCAAACACTGTTAAAAATACTTTTTGCTTGACTGAATTAAGCAGAATATATTGTTACTACTGCTCAATGTTTTAAAACATTTCAAGGAATTACTTAACTAGACAATGATTGGTACAAGTTTAAAGCAGGATATCTGTGCAAAAGGTAAGTTCCAAGAAATTAATTTGTGAGCAAATGTACACACAGCACTAGTAGAAGCTACAAAACTCACCATTACAAGAATCATTTGTAAATTTTTACAATTTATTAAGTTTTTAATAATGTCTTTTGTAACTGCCTTGATATTTAGTGAATTCGGAAGGAGCAAAGAAAATACTAAAATCTCACCCTGTGGGATAACCTCAAACTATTGAAAACTCAAGTGTTTGCTTAAATTTTATATCTTGAACAGTACACACTTATTCAGGATCAATTACATATAAAATTTATGAAGCTTCAATTTGAATGGCCCCACCCAAATGAAGCTTAAAGTATTTTTCTCCCAAGCATAGAAAAATTTGGTTTAATTCATTTTCTTTACCTGAACACCAACTAGAAAATTTGCTTTCTGCCAAAAGAACTGATTTGCCTTTTGACATTTCATACAATATACCAGAGGTAACTTGCCTGCTCGCTTACAATATTACATTATACAATGATGGTTATATGATCTGTAAAAAAAATTTCTTTTAAGATGACAGATTCAAATAAAATAAATATGCTTAATCCATTTTAATTTTTTTTTAAATCTAGAAGAAATGGCAAAAAAAAAAAAAAAAAAAAAACTTGATACAAAGATCAATATTTTACTAAATCCTTTTTCAGTTTAGCAAGTCAAAAAGGGATACCAGTTACAATGACTTTATATGCAATCATATTTAAGGTTCAATCTACAAAATTATTTAATGGGTGTTACATAAAAAAGTATATATTTAACTGTTTAACTTTGTTAAAAATGTCAATATTTATGAGTGGTAAATTGTTATTGTGGAGAGAAATTAAAATTGATAAGTTTTTTACATTTAAATTTTATCTCCATCCAATATCTTTTTTTCCTCTAAAAAGATAGATACAAAAAGCTATTTTTCCCTATTTAATTGACACAACCCCTTGTTATAATACCTGTTATTTGAAAAAGTTTAATGAGTGATTTATGCATAAGATAATATTGTTTGCTTTTTCAGTAGATATAGGACCCCATTCTAAAATCAGTATTTTTAATTTGCCACAGCCTAAAGGAGTTCTAAAGAACACTAATCTACAAAAAATATTACCCCAAAAGATTCTCTATTCAAGTAGTGCCAACTGTTCTATTACAAAATTTTGTGTTTTATGACTTAAGTTTTATACTAACCTTGTGTGGGCATGGAACTGTTCTGGGGACATCATCAGCAGGTTTTCGTGGTTTTATTCTAGAAAAAAGGGAAAAAGACAAAAGACTTCATGCAAATTTGAATTTCTTGAATAATAATTAACAAATTCAATAATCCAGTCAACATTAATCAATGCAATTCCGCATTTAAGTTTTGTAATAACAAATACTTAAGACAAATTCTGAGATTACAAGAAAATTTTTCAGCATCTTGGAGACAATTGTCAATATCAAGCAATTTGATTTTGAAGAAATGTTTTGATCACACAGGGATTTTCTTCATCTGTTTGGACTTGATATGTATACACTGGAATCAGGTATAAACTACCAATCCCAGATTTTCTGTAAATTTTAGATCAAATGATTATGTCTCCAAGAACTTCTACACATTTTAGCTGCCTAGCAACTACCTAAAATTACAGTTTCTATGCAGCTGTAGAAATCATTAGATTTTCCTTCTACTAAATATAAAGCCAGATAAATTGTACAAGCTGGCATTAACTGTCATTTTGATTTTAGATGTTTACACTCAATAAGGAAATATTGATATAATTTCATATTAATGATATTTAATATTTTTAAAAAGTAATTTCATTTAAAAAGATTTTTGCCATAATTAATGAATGTAGTTGTTTTAGCATACAACTGATAAAGTAATACAAGTTTATGCTAGAAAAAACAGTCTGGAAGTCCTAGAGTAAATTTATTTACAAACAAGTTCATTTGCATTATATTAATAATAAAAAAATAACATTTCAAATTGAATCATGAAATTCTACCCACCAGATAAAAATAATTAATGTGTTTAATAAATGTATACTGAAGGGGTGAAAAATAGTAAAAATGTTTGAAGAGAGAGGAAAAAATAAAATGAAAACATTAAAATATAAGATTTTTCTGCACCTCCAAAATGATTGGATAAAGTTGAAAAGATTTGAACTGAATGTTGTGAATAATGAAATAGTGAGTGCAGAGCTAAGTGAACATTTTGATTGGGCATTGTGGACACAGGAGCACAGCTTAATAGCATGTGCAGGGTGGCAGCAGCAGGCATAAAAGCCAATTTTGCAGGTAAAAGAAAAAAAAAAAAAGAAAAAAAAAATTAAAATCATACAATATTGTGCGAGCGAGGAAAGAAAACACTTTTGGAAAGTGCAAGTTACTGAGGAGCAACATTTAATGTTACAAAATTGCTATGAAATGAAACTTAACAAATAAAGTGTACCATTTCAAAATAGCAACTCAAGGAATAAAACATAACTAAATTGTTAAGAGACTATTTTACTTGGTGAAAGGGGGTGGTTGGAAGAGAAAAAAAAACTATAGCTCCTCATGATGTTTCTAACAACAATACTTATTACATATGAAACTTACAAATTTAAAAGCTGTATTACCTACCCAATGACATCAGGAAAAATGCTAAGAATGATTTATATACTGCCAAACAGATAACCATTCCATGATATCTGCTTTGTCCACAGACAAAAAGTAAATAAAATATGAAAAAATATCTGACAAAATGTCCACTATGACAAGAGTGGAATCAAGTTCCATGAAATTAGTGTGCAAGCTGATTTTCTTGGCATAAGTAGGGAATGTAAGGGCAAGGATTGAAAACCTTGGGAAAAGGTGCCTAAAGTAGAAAGCTAATAGTTGCAACTTTCACAATGGCTGCACAATAACTTAGCACATTATATGAAACTGGGAGAGAAAGTAAACAAACCCCTTCCTACAAAAGAAAAAGAAAAAAAAAAAAAAAAAAGAAAAGAAAAAAAAAGAGGGTGGATTGGGGAAGTAAAAAAAAAAAAAAAAATTTAAAGCAAGGAAGGATTGAAATTTTACACATTATTGAAATAAAAATAAAATATAAATAAATAAAAAAAAAAAAATTTAAAGAAAAAAAAAAAAAAGAAAAGAAAAGGAATCAGAAGCGTTCAACCTGTGCTTACCCAGAAAGGCGCGAATGGTAAAGCCCATCCAGGTCAACCGCCAGGTCACGTTTTTCTTTCCTCGCACGCACTGTAGAGGTGTTACTAGATTAAGTAAAAGAAAGTCCTTTATGAAGAGTCCACAATGTGACACTCACCAAATGGCTAAATGTGTCATTTTATCAAGTCATTGTCTTTTAGTACATAAGAGTGTGGTGACCAGGAGTTTCAGCAGCGGACATCAAGAATAAATTCTACACAATCCCATAAGCAAGTGCACAAGAAGAATCAAACTGAAGCACGTCAGCAATATTTATTGAAAAAGACATTATGAAAAATTCAAGTACTTAGTATCTATATGGTGAAAGAATTTAGTTTGATGAAATATTAACTCTTGTGAATAAAAGTCAGTTATTTTTAAATTTGTCAATAGACATTAACACTTCATCGCTGAAATCTTACTGTTCTCATCCAAAAACTTATGTACTGACAACAATAAAACCAATAAAAACAAAAATGAAACTAATAAATCTCAAGTAAGAAAAAAAATAAAAAATAAAAATTTTTTAAAAAAAATCAAGATGTGAACTTTGTCCAAATGATTAAATAAAGAATCAGTCTGCGATAGAATATTTTTTGAGAAAGGTCACCGATTCAGCACTTGAACGGCTGACATACATTCAACAGCCAGAAACATGAGCTAACGATCATTTAATAATTAAGTATCAGAAATACAAGTATAAGCAAACATTTTGATTTCAATGAGAGGAAAAAAAAAAAAATTTATAAAAAGAAGCCTGTTCAAGAATGAAAATTTCAACATCTTTCATAAAGAAATGACACCTTGACAAATCAACTTATTTGCATTAAAAATTTTTCACAAGACCATAACTTAGGGATTTTCAAGTTTTTTCCTTTTATGTAGTATAATATACTTGTATTAAACCAAAGCTTATTTTTTTTTTTTTTGGACAGATATGATAGCAGGAAAAAGAAAAAACATCAATGTAATGTATTGCTTCACTAGAAACGTGAAGAACTGGTTCTTCTTAAAAACAAAATAGGCAGAAATGTTTGTCACCCGCCCCAGCTAAGGGTTGCATGCAACCCCCATGCACATGCCACTGAAGCAGTGAATGTAGATTTGCTTTCTTTTACTTGCAATGATCAAAATTAGGCTGACATGATTTGTGAAAGTTACAAGAGAAATGTGTGCTAGGAGAGAAACTAGTCAAAATGAAATGATTATCACTCATAATGATTTAAATAGGGACCAACTCAAATGCAATTAAAAACTGCAAGAAAACATGATTACAAACATTTCAACAAGTTAGAGACATTCACCCGATGTTTTTCTTACAAAACTACTATGAATTAACTAAATGTAATATAAAGAAAAAAATTTAATGTAGAAAAAAAAAGTTGGTAAAAAATTTGTAGTATCTTACAAATTAGATTATGAAAAAGAAAAAAATTTTTTATAAAAGACTACATCTTTATATTCTTTCTTACAAGGACTTATTTACAAGGTTAGAAGTATCCATTTATTACAACTAAGTGTGGTCATGCTTTTTCTTTCTTTGAAAACATTTACATCAAATTACTGTTACTAGAATGTTAAAGTTCTATATAATGAACATCACAGCTTGCAGTAAATCAAACATGCTATTGTTACAAGACATTGGGTGGGGATTAAATTCAGTTTGAGGTTATTGGCAGTGTAGTTAAATGAATATATGAAGACAAAAAAAGTAAAAAATGGGAAAGTGCAGAGGAAAGAGCAAATAGTTAAGCAAAAGTATTTGGTGATTAATAAGATTCACATCAACCTTTTGTTTCCCTACTTGCATCAAGATTTGATTAAGTCTTTTTGTTTGATTTTAGGTGCGAACTTGTGATGCACTTACCGTGCAAACTCTGCCAACTGTTTGGGATCACTTAAATCAAGACCTGGTATACCGCCGGGAGGAAGTTTTTTGCCAGTCATGTATTCAGTGAAGTCAGCATCTGTTTCAGAAACACTGGACACGCTTTCGTCTTCCAATTTAGACTTATCATCTGAACCTGTGATAAAGAGTTCATAAATGTGAGCAAAAATACATGGATAATTTCTGAAAACAAATGGGAAATGATTTTTTTTGTGCAAATTACGGATATAGCAAACATTTTAAAAGTATCATGTTTCAGTAATCATATTTACCAATAGTTAAGATGCATATTTAAATAAAACCTATGTAAATATTATACTGCAATGGTATTATTATGGAGTCTTATCTGCACAAGTTTGAAATGAACAAATGAATGAACTGCACTGAGCCATAATCTTCCAGAAACTTATATAGGTACCTCTTCCTGATTGGCAATACCTAAGATTTAAAAAGTCTTTCTTGAAGACTTAGTTTCAAGCTAGTAGATTAAATTTAATATTTCCAATAAGCAAAACATTTTACTGCATCTCAAAACTAATTTAAATTGATTAGAATTAATTTTTGTTTTAAATTGCTGAATTTTTTTTTTTATTTTAGCATCATTTTAGTCACTAGCCATCAGAATATAATTCTCTTTATTAAACATATCTTCCAAAAATAAAATATATTTTTCTGAAACTTTATTAAAGGAATATTAACTAGTTTAAAATATAATTAATTTTATTTAAAACAACTATTATTTACTTTAAGTTTAAAATATCACAGAAATGCATTTACAGGGGTTGTTTATTTAAATCTTTCAGGTGTTGACAGCTTGATGACAGACCAATGTTTATCTAATGGTGTATGGAGACTTCATGCATAATAATAATAAAAAAAAAAAAAAAAAAAAAAAAAAAAAAAAAAAATAAATAATGTGAGCACCTTTTATATATAATTTTTAAGTACTCCATAATTTTAACAGATAGAAAATATTCTCCGTAATCTAATATTTTATTGAATTTTAAATACTTTGGCTTTAAATGTACTACAGTTACTGCTCTTTTTTTCTGTTAATGTTGTGTATCAACATCCATATCTACAAAAATCAGCATGTTTATAGAAATACAAAAATAGGTACCACCACTGAATTTTCAATATCTAAGGATTAAAATGAATTTTTAAAAATGAAAAAGAATTCTTGAAGATTTTAATTTTAGCTTTAAATGAAAGCTAAATGATTAAATTTATTATTTCCCGTAAGCAAAATACTTTGGTGTATTTTAAATAGTAATCATATAGATTGGAATCTGAACTTTTTGCTGACTTTCACAAAATCAGTCATTTTTGACACATTTGTAAACAAAAAGTTAATTCTCGGTTTTAAATTCCTCCAAAAATAAAATATACTTTCCTGAAGCTTTGAGGAATATTAGCCAATTTAAAATATAATTAATCTGATTTGAAAAAAAATATTTACTTTAAGTTTAAAATAACAGAAAAGGATTTCAAATAAAACAATGGCAGTGATTATGCGTTTATCACTTGACAAGCAATAATAAAATCTGTCAACACCTTTGCTCTCGTTCTATAGGGACCTTATTTGTTAAGACAATTTAAGAAAATTACAGGCAAACACTTTTTTATATGTAATTTTTAAGTACTCAGTAATCTTAAAAATGTTGGAAAATATTCCCCATAATCTAATTTTAAGAATGCTGAATTTTAATTGACTATAGCCATCAATCTTATTTTCTGATTATGTCATGTATGGTCAACCATACTTTCAAACAGGGGAAGTTTGATAATCTATTATATACATAAAAAAAAAAAAAAAAAAAAAAAAAAAAAAAAAAATTGTGTAAATGATATGAGCTTTTCAATTTTTGATTCATAAATATAGGTTTCAATTCATATCACCTAACTAGATTGAAATAATGCAGAATTTTAAACAATTTATATGAAATTAATAATTGAAATTTAAAAAAAATTAAAACAATTCGTGTAAAAATTCATTATTTATTGACATTTTTTTAAGACAAGGTACTTAATAAGTCTTAAAAGTATTTTAAATATTTCCTAATATCAGTTTTATTGCATTTTTTTTTTATTTTAAGATCCAGAGCAGATTTTTGCGAAGTGATTAGTTAGTAGTTTGAAATTCAAAAAAAATTTCATTCATTTGTGAATAAGTTTCATTCAAATCTGACAATTATTTGATTTTCGTAAAAATTTCCAAATCAGTCTTTCAAAATAAAAAGAAAGACAGTAACATTTATTTGCTATGTAAATTTGTAGCCCATCAGCTGACGAAAGAAAAAAAAAGATTTTAAAATACTTTGGTCTTTCCTCTTAATAGATTTTGACGATAAGACCTGGTTTTTATCAAGTTTGGGGCATTTTTTCATCACAGTATGCTCTTTTCTCAGCGATTTTGTGGCGGAACCGGCATATCAACCACTAATTAATGCCGAAACTTCTTGTGGAGGCCCCTACTTTTAGAACAGGCATGGTTATCAATTTTCGTTTATATGTCAGCAAGAAACAGACATTGTATGTCATGAATATTACTAAAGCATTTTTACCGCCACTGAATATGGAAATTGAAAGTTCCTATATATATATATATATATATATATATATATATATATATATATATATATATATATATATATATATATATATGTTTTACAATGTTTTGAAGTTAGTGATCATGTGACCCAGCTAGTTAAGAGTTTCTGCTAAAATGAAAGTAGACAACGTCATCGACACCTTTTTTTAGCTTTTATAGAAACGGAGTTTATTTACTCGCAATAGTTTTCTTTTTCATATAATTTAAGATTGAGATATATATATATATATATATATTTTAACACTTATCGTAAGTTTCCACCCAAATGTAAAACAAAGACAGTGTGTGATGATTGCATTGTTTGATTGGTGATTTAAGAAAATCTAAAAATTCACTCTACAGAGAGATTTTGGAAAGAAGAAAAAAAACCAATAAAAGAAAAGAGTCGCAATATACAACAATAACATAAAAAAATAAATTAAAATATTCTTCTTGGAGGGAGGGGGGCGGTACATACACATTGAAATATCAGCAGACGAGAAAGAAAGAAAGTGAAAAAGGAAGATAAACAAAGAAAAGCACCACTGGAATAATGAAATTAGAATTGAAACAAGATTAATAAAAAGCAAAAAAAAAAAAAAAAAAAAATCATTCACGTAACGCACAAGTAAAAATGCGAGTCGATATTTAATTCTTAGCTTAACCAACGATCAAAATAATCACACAGAATTCTTCGATGATGGTAAAAAAAAAAAAAAAAATTCTTATAAAAAAAAGTAATTTTTTTTATTAAAGCTGATAATTTAATGATGTTGATCAGTAAATAAATTTTCATCCGGTGGAATTTTTTTTCTATACAAATTTTACGACTATTTTTGTCCCATAATAATAGACATTTTTATTTGGTGTAAGAAACGCATTATGCAAATACAGCAACTATCATCATGGAAGACTTTTTTATACTTACTGACATGATTGTTTAGAAATTTCGGAGTGTTGAATAAAAAGTTGTCCCTTGCAATAATTTGTATAGTGAAAATATTAAAAATGACAACTAAGGAATTGTCAAGTTATTTTTTGTCTGTATCATAATTAAAATTTCGCCTATCTAACCGTGAACTTTTTTTTTTGAGATTCAGTCAAATCAGGAAGTTAACCAGAAAATTAGTCTGTTAGATTGGATTTTTTTTATGAAAAAAAATCACCAGTAATTAATAAATAAACAAAAATAAATAACCATAAATTATCGCTTTAGAGTTTAAAGGAAAAAAAAAAAAAAATGTGAAAAATTATTTTTCAATGTTTTTTTTTTAATTTATTAAATTTTTGTTTTAGGGAACAAAGAGATTTTAGAAAAAATAGTTTTGTTTGCAGTATAGTTTTAAAAATTGTCATTAAAAAAAAAAAAAAAAAAAAAAAAAAATTACTTTTCTTTATATTTTAGATATTTTGAATAAAAATTCAATTTTCATAACTTATGAAGATTGAATAATTTATAAATTAAATATGGTACGTTATTTTGTCGAATTACTAAACTAAAATTTAATAAGTTTATAAAGGGGGAAAAAAAGAAAAAAGCACTACAGATATTTAAAGAAATTGTGTTTTTTTGTATAAAAATTCAACTTATAGACGAAAATAAATTTTAAAAAGTAAATAACATCAAAAGGAAATAAGACGTCGTAGATTTTTTCTTATTTGCTTTTCTGCACAAATTTTATAAAAATCGCCTAAAACAGGATGAAGGAAGCAAGCAGCTACACAAAAGCAGTTTTAGTAACATCTAAAAAGCAAGCAGCAGAAGAAATAAGGCTAACGATAGCAAGCAAGCTAGCAAGCAGGCAGGCAAGTCCGTTCCTGTATTGTTATATGGAAAATGCGTGTGAGCGCGCCTAACGCTTATACGTACATAAAAGCTACTAACGCAATATACTAAAAACAAGAGAAGCCTATAGATCATGAAACCAACCAACGCAGAAGACACTCCAACTATCAATTTATCCATTGAATAAAATCTATTAGCGACAAAATAACCACACAAAACGATCCTATTACACTTTGTGCGTAAATCTCGTTCAATTTTTGCTGTCGATTCTCACTGGCGAACCAACATTTGCAACAACAATTTCAAGGACGGCTGAACCAGTCTGCACAAAGATGGCCGCCATCCGCCATAGTATATTTTCCGCCATATTCTGAGAAGATGGCGGCGCCCATGGAAATCATGATGGCCGACGTCAAAATCAAAACAAACATGTGTACAGCTGGAAACATTGGTCAGAGAGGAGCAGAAATGCAGAAAAACTTGTCGAAAAGCCCCGTTCTGAAGCGCCACGAAACCTGTCCCAATTCCTGACTTACGTCACACACTAGCTATGACCTTTTTCGAGACAGAATTTATCGACTTTTCTTTCCCCACCGCCAATCGAACTTAGACCAGTGTTTTGGGTCCGATTTATTTACAAACATCTGTGTAGTTTAAATAAAGAATAAATATCTAATCACAGTTGAAATTCGACAAATATTTCACTAGAAATCGTAGCAACGCAATGAGAGTTAAAAAAAAACAAAAAAAAAACAACAAACCTGTAGCCCACATTGTCACTGAGAATTCGCCTTCTAACGTTTTGATTTGAACCTGTTTTTGTTCCCATTTCTTAGTAGCCGAATTACCGTCGAATGTTAGATCTCCACCAACAACTGACGTGGAAATGGCATTCTTCGATTTGTTAGCTCGTCTTTTTCCGCCTTTGCCCTTTCTTGTGGTGGTTGCTTCCTCGGTGGATATTTCAATTTCTGGTGCTGGTACAGGGATGGTATCGGCATACACGAGGTTCGGATCGCCGACCACCTCCTCACGGGTCTGCAAAACTATTTCCTCTTGAGCTGGTTCGGGTAATGGTTGCAACGCAATCATCGGCTGTACCTCCACTGTGTCGTCGCTAGTCTCCACCGTCTCGATAGGCATTTCCACCGGAATGGACTCCACTTCCACCTCCTGAATCTCTACTTCTGAGCCGATCACGGACGCCATCTTGTCTTGCTTTCTTTTTCTACGGCGCTGAAGTTTCTGTCTATGAATAACAACGGAGGAGGGGGGGGGAGACGGACCACGTGATCAGACACCCATGAACAGAACGATATAAATATTCATGAGTAACAGGCAGCAGCTGCTCTCACGTTCTCCCTCCCTCTTTATACATCTTTACTTCCCCTCCTAATGTTTCTTTCACTCTTTCTTTACAATCTTCCGATATTTCTTTCACTTTTGTACATGACTTTTTTTTTACTCTTTTCTTCGTTCAATCTTTGATTTTTCTGTCATTAAATTACACGCACTTTCTGTAAAAATGAAATCATTTGATCCTATCAAACATGAAAATTGTTTCATACCTACGCTTTCTTATTTTTTCCTGTTATAAATACTTTTTTTCTGGTTTTCCGCCTCTCTTCATAGTTCTTTAAGTTATTTTTAATTTCTTCTTGCACTTCCTCCACTTTCTCTTTTCTCCCTTTCACAACTTTTTCTATCCCCCTCTCTAATCTTATCTTTCTCTCATCCTGTATGTGTTTCTTTTTTTTTTTTTACTCGTTTGTGTGTTATTTTTTTTGCTTCTCGCGAACCCTTATCATTGTTTCTCTTCACCCTCTTTCATTGTTTCAATCTTTCTCTTTCCCTCTCACCTCTTCCTCATCTGTGTGTTCTCACTCCCGCATGCCTCGCTTCTGATGTAATTGCTTCTTGCATTCCCCCTGTTATTTGCTTGCTTGTCTTCTCAACCCCTCTTTATTTTCCTGTTAACTCCTAACACTGCTCTCTCTACGTCTATTCTCCTACTTTTCCTCCTACTACGATTTTTCTCTGTTTTTCCTTTCCATTTGATTTGCCAAAGTCACTCCAAATGTAGGAACGAAGTTGTCAACATCTGCTGTAGAGATTATATTACTTGTTTAGTATCAGTCTCTTTGCGGTATTTCTCTGGTGACAATAAGTCACCTTCTCAGCAGTTAATCACTTACTTGGCCTAAAACCAAGGATTTATCCTTGTTTTCTTTACATCTAAAGAAAGGTCTTCGAAAAGAGAAATTATGGGAGCAAAAGTGTCCCGGACAGATTTTGAGTGGGTTTATACGCAGGAGCCTCATGCCACCCGAAGGAAAGAAATTATGGGTAAGACATTAAAAAAAAAAAAAAAGATACGGATGATGTTAGTTACTCAGTTTGATATTCTCTATCATTTGCTTAAATTTATCAATTATAAATTATCCGGCCTGATATGATGTGGAGAGAACGTAAAAAGCATGAGTTTTTTTTTTGGGGGGGGGGTATTGGAAGAAATGTTTTAAAAACCTATTTCTTTTAATTTTTTTAATATTTTCTCTATTTTTAACTTTGGTCATAGCTGATATCTTTTGTGCTGGCATTTTACTAAAAAGACTGAAAAAAGTAAATTTTGGATGTCATAAGTTTAAAAAAAAAAAAGCAAGTATTTTTTTTTTTTTTCATTATTATTTAAATCTTAATTTCTCTTCAAATCGTTAAAAAAAAACTTTAACACAATCCGGCGTTTTTAAATTTCATTTTTAAAGCTAAATATTTTTTTTTTTAAATAATTATTAATTGAGAAGCAAAAGATTTTTTTTCTTTAGTTCATTATGAAATGAACTTTACTTTCTTTAATAAACCTGTTTTTGTTTTTGTTTTTTTTTTGTTTTTTTAATTCAATCTTACATTTTTTTTTCTCTTCTTGTAATTTAATAATAACGGTATTTCCACTTAAACTTGTTGAAAGTGGAAATATTTTTCATTTTGCTTTGCTTCTTCCTCTTTTTTTCTTAAAGTGATGGTCATCTCGAATCCCAAGCCGGTTGAATTTGGCTTCTCCACTAAAAGATGAGAAAATATTTTTTGAGTCGCTTTGACTGTTCAAAAACTCATTGTATTTTAAAATCTTGCCACATTTTTAATTTCCAAATTTTACGCTTTTTTTTTCTTTTTTAAATGGCTTAGAGTTAGACTTGGATGGATGAAAGGTTCATTACTTTAAAGTTTACAGTACACAGCCTTTGTGTGTAATGAAAGTAATTCTCTAATGATGCGAATCATTTTTCTTTAGTGGGGATCACACATGTTGCTTTATGTGTGAAAAGATCTCTACAATAATATTGAATTACTTTGAAATTAAATTAAAAATCAAGCCCATGTCATATTCTTATGATGTGATCGTATATTTTTTTTCTTTTTAAAAAGTGAAAATACAATAATTAATCAAATTTAATTATTTTAAATGTCCACTGACTAAAATCTTTATTAAAAAGTAAAAGTAGTTTTACTTGATTGAGAAGAGGAACTTTATACTTTTAAAAAATTTCATGAACAATGAACTTTTTTTTTTATATTTTGCTTGTTCTTTAGTTTAAACTCGATCATTAAAAAGAATGACATCCTTTCAATTCTGAAATTTCATATTTGATTTTTTGTGTGTGTGTAAATTGAAAATGCATATTTCAGGAGTGGATGAGCAGTTTCATACAGACCAAACCATATGCCATTGTTTCATGGATTAGAAAACATAGCCATCATGTTGAAACTTAAAAAAGTAAAAAAAGAAAAAATATATTTCTCCTTTCGTTGACAAATAGTAAAAACTGAAACTACATTTTTTTCATTGAAAAAAAAAACGTACATTTAATGGCGGGGAAATGGAATTTTAAAAGAACACCTACTAAACAGAAACAAAAATAAATGGAAAGAACTTTTATTTTCTCCTTTTTTAACGATTGAACTTTTTTTTTTTTTGTACAGGGTGGTCCGAAAGTTCTGTTATCCCAACGTCTCTTCTCTTCCTAACTGTAGTTCGTTTGTGTCAGCCATCTGAAATAGGAAATTATGGGTGACAAAACTTTCGGACCACCATGTAGTTTTATTAGCTACTAAAAAGTAAACTCTTTCGGGAATTTCGCATCATATTTTTTATTGTATTTTAAACTTTATGAAGCAATCGGTGAGGGGGCTGTTAGTGTTAAGTAGTGACAACAAATATAGTTTGTCTGGTCCACCACTTGATGCACGGAGAATTGATGACACGACTTTGTAAAAGACGGACTTTTTTTTATATTGCTCTATAATTTCCATACAGCAAACGGTGAATTACCTACTTATTAATAATGTAACTAGCCTCATAATCTTCTTACTTAACCCTCATTTAGTTTTGGAAAGATATCTAATTTCCTAACTATCGTCATAGCGTCTAAAATGGTTTTTAAAAGCTGAAGTGAAATGGAGAAAAATTCAGATAGCCTCTTCTTAGGGTAATATATATTTTTTTATGCATTTTTCATCTTTAAAACCCAAGAGAGTGCTCGGAATATGAGACTAGTAAAATATATATATATAAGAACGCAATGCGATTTTTTTTTTCTTTCCCTATCCGACTCCTTACTCATTTAGTACATTTTTTTCTCAAAATGAGTTGGGCGTGTGTAGTGTTAGAGAAGTTAAGACTTAAGTACACGTGAAATTCTATGGCTCATTGTATATGATGTACATTCTAAAAAGAAAAAAAACTTACTGAATTTGGATGACAACTCGTTCAATTCCACGATTCACACGGACTAAATATCCCCATCTTTTCACAAACATTATTTTCGGTGTTTTCTATGGAATACAAGTACATGGATTCTGGATCTCTAGTCGTTTTATTTTTCCCTTTATGAAAGAACTACTGATAATTTTGCAAAAATATACCTTCTGTTAATTTTTAAATTCTCTTTCAGAATCCTTTGAGCTGGTGAATTTCTTTCTCATTGTAATTGTCACGTTGCACTCTTTCTTTGTCACTTGGTGATGGACAAACAAATCCTTTTGAAGTTGAATTTAATTTTAAGAATACAGCCATAGCATAAAAAATTGAGGTTGTGTTGCCAGTCCATTGCTTTGGCTCTTCTTAAATGTGTGTTTTTTTATTATTTTTAGGTCCTGTGATAGGCCAACTCTATAAGAAAAAAAAAATGCATATCTGTATATGTGACCTTGCTGAATTTCTTTAGTATTTCACTAAAAAATACACGTGTAGACCAAATTTTGCAGGATTTTTTTTTAACTGAAAACCATATTACTTTTTTTTATACAAGACTATTTGAATGATTTTCCTTGGTGTTCCTGACAATGGCTTTCACATTGTCCTTATTTCAGTGAAACTGTTTCTCTCCAAAAACCTCATCAGAATTTACTCAGCTGTTTATCATTTGAACTTAATTATTTAATGTTATTCTGCAATACCATCAAGGTCAAAATCTTTCTAATGCAAAAATTTTATGTCAGAGTAATGAACTACATTATCAAATTGCATAAGCATTGCTATACATAATTTAAGAATTTTACATTATCTACCAAAGTGACGTTAGAAAGCCTTCCAAATTAGCATAATCATTTGCTTTTAGTACACAACTTCTCTGTAATATCAGTCGTGTTTTAAGTTGCATGTTTTTCTCAAAATCTAATTGCAAATAAGAAAAGTATAAATGTTAAATAAAATGTCGACGTTCTCTCATTTTAATGCTGTACTTTAAATGCAGGCTAGCTTTAGTGTTCATGAGCAGAAAATTAGAATTTATCAACTATAGTGGCAAAATAAAATCAAACGAGTCTTACTCTTAGTCTTAAGTGTTTGAAAACTTGGATCTGGTCTTGTTGCAAATATTAAAACTTTATGTAAAATGGGAAATTGAATGCACTATTTTCAATGACCCTTTCTTAGAATCGTTTTACATCTGTTTATTTTATATAAAGAAAAAAAAAGTTGATATAAATATTTAAAACTGATTTTGCTGCAGTTAGAATAAGTAGCATTTATTCATGAGTTGTGTTTGGAACAAAAGTTTGTGGCATTTGAAGATGTTATTTTTATTTCTCACATGATTGAATTTTATGAAACATATTCTGAAAGGTGACATTTCAATGTGTCTTATACAATTTATGTGTGGATTGAGAATTTTAAATATGTTAATGAAAATGAAGTATTTGATGCTCAAAACACTGTACAAACAGCAAAAAGACGTGCCATTTATGGATATGGTGTCATAACTAAGGTTACTGTTCTTAAGTGGTTCACTAGGATGATGGTTGACATGTGGAAATTTTGGTCTGGAACATTGCTGTCTGTCTTCAATCATGATGACCAAATCAAAGAGCTGATTGTAAATAATCTCAGTCACTTAAAATAGGACACTGCAGTTATAAGGCATTTAGAAACACTTGAATGTATAAATTGTCATGTTTGGGTGCCTCACAATTCAACAGGAAAACATTTAATGGCCCACATTTCCACCTGTGATTCTCTACTCAAATGCAACAAAAATTAACCCATTTTTGAAAATGATCACAGGTGATGAAAGATGAATTGTTTACAACAATGTGAAGCAAAAAAAGATCCTTGGGGAAATAAATGGAGCTGTTGCTAACCACTCCAAAGCCTGGGCTGCATCCAAAGGTGATATTGTGTATTAAATTTAGAGAAGTACTATTTCTAGTTAAAGGCAGGAATCTATGCCAAGCATCTAGAACTGGACATTTGTGAGGGTGTTGTCTTCCATCAGGACACTGTCAGACTTTGTCTCTTTGCAAACCTGGCCCAAACTGGTGCAGTTTGGTTAGGTTGTCCTAATACACTTGCTGTACACACCTGACCTTGCACTTTTTGGATTACCACTTTTTTCAGTCTCTACAAGATTAAAATTTGCTTAATTCTCTAAAAAACAAAAAAAAAACACTTAAACCAATTCATCACTCAGAAAGATGTCAAGTTCTGAGAGGATGCACTCATGAAGCTGCCTAAAGATGGTGAAAGGTAATGGAACAAAATAGTAGTTAAATGAGTCTGTGTACAAATATCCTAATATTGTCCTTGAAATTCATTAAAAAAAAAAAATGCTATAAATGTTTATTATATAGAGAGTGTGAGAGAGAGAGTGTGTGTGTAATCTAATGAAAAAAAAAATTAAACAATTGTGTGTTAGGTAATCTAACAATGTAATCTGAAATATTAGTCCCTTCAATAAATGCACCTTATCTTAAACTGTAACTATACCAGACAGTTAACATCAACTTCAGAGTTCGAGACCTTTTATTTGTTTTTTGTTATGTAAAATATTTATGACTAACATAAACTA